GTGAAGGCCCCGAGAGGCCTGGGCGGGGTGGGAGCCGCAGACCCTGGGTGTCCACCTCCACGGACCCCCGTGACCCCGCGCCCCGAGGCCGCCTGGGTGGACCCCAGCCCCGCGGGAGGGCCCCCCATCCCGGGGTCCCTGACGCCGCCGCGCGCTGCCCCTCCCCCGCCGGGCGCCTCGATTGACGGCGGAGAAACGCGGGGCCGTGAGCGAGGCCGGGGACGGTCTACAGGGCACATCTGTCTGTCCTGTCCGAAGTCCACTTCGCCGAACACCACCGCGCTGACCCCTCCACGCGGGGGGGACCTAGCTCATCCCAGCTCCAGAAGGGTCCTCGGGGGTCCCTACTGCCCTCGGGGGTCCCTGCTGACTCTCGGGGGTCCCTGCTGCCCTCGGGGGTCCCTGCTGACCCTCGGGGTCCCTGCTGACCCTCGGGGTCCCTGCTGCCCCTCGGCGGTCCCTGCTGACCCTCGGGGTCCCTGCTGACCCTCGGGATCCCGTCCCCCGCCGGCCGAACCATCCGTCTCCGAACGATGACCATGATCCAAGGCTGCCCAGAAGTGCGGGTGGGGATGGGGGAACGGTCCTGGGCGGCCGGCGGGGCCCCTGCGGCGTCCAGCTGCGTGCTGACCTGTGCTGACCACTGCATCGCTCTCGGCTGTCCACTCCCATCCTTACCCTGTGAGGGCCCGCGCTCCCCGAGCTCATCCATGGGCTGTTTAAGGAATAATTTTGTATTTGTGTCTGTTGAAACCCTGGTGAATCTCACAGAATTGCTGCCACGTTCAGATAGAGATTTTTCTTTTTCATTTTCTACTGTTTACAAAATCCGAATACATTGTTTTCAAGAGCAAATTCTTTCCATTCCCCTCACCCCCCACCCATCAAATTGTACAACCCATGGTGTGACACCCACTTCATTGTGGCCCTGGAGAGCCAAACGGGGCAGTGTCTCCTAAACATGCCTGGGACTAAATCCTCCAGCTTTGATGTCTTCATTTGTGCAGTGTGTCAGTGCTGGACAGATGATGTGGACGCGAATGTGACAGCCAGACAAGCATCCAGTCTGTTCCTCTATGTCTCAAGCATATTCAGTACTAAGTATAGTTTATGCGGTGACCTCCAATCCTAATAACAGCAGTAATGAGGAAATTATCTGAATCATATTCTACTCTTGGGCCCGCTGAGGTCAATCCCAGCACGGCAGCTGTGTGACACCTTTCGTGTCTTAAGTCAGATCCTGGAGCTCCTTCCTGAAATCTCCCAGTGGTTCTCCTTTGCTCAGAAATTGAAATCTAAGAACATAATTGAGACCTTTGTGGGACCTCTGTGTCTGTGCACCCCTCTTACCTTGCGTGGGCATCTTTTTCCTCTTCTGGTTCTCTCTAGTCTAACCTGACTAGCACCTTGGAACATGGCAAATCTGTTTTTGCTGTAAGGTTTCTAGTCTTACCTCCCCCAGATTCATGGCCAACCAGGATTGACCTTATTTTGAAGTAGCATCTTTACAGGTTTGAGTAGATAAGGATATTAACATGAATTCATCATGGATTTTAGTGTAGCCCCTACATCAGTGACTAGTGTTCTAAAAACAGGAGAGGACACAGAGATGAGGTGATTTAAGGCTGAGATCAAAGTGATATATGTCCACAAGACACGGAACACCAGGATTGCTAGAAACCACCAGAAACTGGCAAAGAGGCATGGGACAGGCTCCAGAAGGAACTAACATGACCAACACCTTGATTTCAGACTTCTGACCACCTACCTGATCTCTGCAAGAGTCAATTCTTAACCATTTCAAGCAATCCAGTGTGTGAAGATGCATTATGGGAGCTCTAAGGAGAGAATTCAGAATATGTCCATACATTGATTCTTCTCCCTAGAAACATGCTTTGAATTAGCACTGCTCTCCATGAACTGTGCCATCTGAGCTCCTCCATGCAGAGTAGATAGCCAATTCAGTAAATGAATGGACAAGTTTTGCAGATGAGACCGTCAAGATACAAGATTGTTAACCTTTCCAGAGAACTGACAGGCAAGGACGTCAGTCTAGTGACTAAGGTGCGCCTGACCTGGGTCATAATCTTTGCAGTTTTGTTCATAGAGTCATTATGAGTCATGCTCGACTCGACAGCAGTCAACAATGATTAACACCCTACCCCCTCTATGATTTTGATATTTTATAATAAAATTTCTATGTTACATCATCGAAAATTATCTGACTTGATTATTCTACCATTCACAGGTATTTTGTTTTTCTTTCCCTTGTTGCATATTGTCTAGTCTGATGCAACTGGCCCATAAGGAGATTGCCCCTCCAGCAGAGCACCTAGTGGATTCGAACCACATATGTTTGGGATTGCTGTGTAGCTTCTTGCCACTAGGGCCACCAGAGCTCCCTCTATTAAGAGATTTTTAAATCAATATTTTCTTATAATTAAGTTGATTATTCTATTACATTGATTCTAGTGATCTTTACTTTTTCAGTACCCAGAAATATCTATCTTTTGAACCAACAAAACATGGTCAAAATCTTCTTTGTCCATTTTCATTGTTAGGTTTATTTTCCTTTTTTCTCCTTTGTAAATTTGTTCCACAATGCTAGACTTGGATTTTATTTTACCTTGTAATTCTCAAGTCCTGGTTTTTTCCTTTTTATTTTATGACATTTTTCTTATTGTTGCTATTATGTAGCGATCGCCTAAATGAGGAAAAAAGCAGCAAGAAGAAATCCTTCACAATAAAATTGAAAAGGCAAAATCAAGAATGTCTGAATTTAATGAAGAATTGAATCTTCCTAGAAGTGACTTGGAGAATGCTGGAATTGATACTTAATGAGGGGAAACAGCAGCTAAGAGAGCAGAGGTTCTGGCAAGCCTGGGGAAGCTCCGCCCAGAGTCTGTGGTCATGAAAAACAAATAGTTCACCAAAACAAAAGAGGATAAACTCTCCTAATTGGGGAAAATATTTGTCTTCTTCATTGAGGTTAAAATACAGAAGCAGTATGTAGGGTGAAAGTAGTATCTATGGGTAACAGTCGTCAGGGAGAAGCAGTGACATGAACTCTACCCACAAAGTCCAAGATGACCAGTAATTCCAAAGGACTGGACACTATAAAGTAGCATGGTTGTCCCCCTAAGCATATAGTCTCAAACCACATGTTCCTCATAGTTTCCGAGTATTTTTGAGTTCTTTTTTACAGCAGACGTATGGGCCATCAAGTGGCCTGTGACTCATGGAGACCCTATGTACAGTAGCCCTGAAACCCACCCTCTCTTGAACCAGTCTCACTCACTGGCACACCTACACTCACCACCCCAGTTACTGCATCAATCCATCCCATTCGGATCATCTTCTCCTGCACTGCCCCTCCAAGCTTCCAAGCATGACGTCCTCCAAGGACTCATCCCTCCTGGCCATGTGCCCAAAGTATGTGAGACGGAGCTATAAAATTCTTGTCTCTGAGGAGCAGCTTGATGTCACCCTCTCGTGTCTGAGCGTCACAGGATTTCTTCCTTTGGTATGAGGACAGGCATCTTCCAGTCTTGTCACGAGCAAAAGCGGACACTTCACAGCCCTCAGCTTACAGTGTGTGACACTGTACCCCCTGCTTTGTCATGTTTGTCACGACGCACTTGTCTGCAGGCTTCCATGGTGCTGCCGTTCTTGGCATTCCTCCTGCTTCTCCAGCCCCTTTGTCCCCGTCTTCTTTCTGCTCAGAGGTTAGGATCTCTGCTGCTTTATCACACTAGCAGAGAGTGCCACATAAAGCTCTTCACTAACGCACTCGCTTTCTCTTCTGTTTGAAACCTGCAAAGTTTGGGAGACTGCTGGACTTGTCTCATCCTATTCATAAGAAATACCAACTGGCAGCAATGAAGATTTTTGGTCGGTACATATTAGCTATTGTTGTGACCTCTAAAAAAGTGGTGAGTGTATCCAGTACCTGAAGGAAGAAAGAGCTGAGCCAGAGACATTCCTTGCTCTAGACTCCCTTGATGTAAGAAAGTCTTAGTCTTCAGAACTTAGAAATACACGCTTGTCTGTTAATATCTTCAATGCCTTAAACTGGGGTAACCCAGACCACACAGAAACATGGGTGTCAACTCAATTCTATGGGTCATCCCGCAGGACAGAGTAGAACTGCACCAGAGGGTTTCCTTTTTACAGAAAGGTGTCGTTTTTACAAGCAGACCATCCTATCTTTATCCTCTGATTACTGTAGCCCCTCATTGGCATGAAGTTGGACCTCAACCTCCAGCAAGTTTTCAGAGGCTGTAAATCTCACAGGAGGAGGTTACCTGTCTTTCTCCCACAGAGCAGCTAGTGGATTTAAACCACTTGCCTTCAGGCTGGCCGCACAACTCCTTATCCACTGAAGGCTATTGTTGTATACCACCGAGTCAGAACCAACCCAGAGCTG